AAAAATTTATGAGGTACTTATAAAAGGTGTTCAAATGATGTGCAAGAGTATTTATGAAGGTGTTCTGGGAGTATTCAGAGGTGATTTGGGGGTGTTCGAATGATGTTTTTTGGAGTATTTCAGTGTTGTTTGGAAATGTATAAAGGTATTTTTTGTGAGTATTCAAATGATTTATGAGAGTGTTTTGAAGATGTTCAAAGTAAAAGTGCGTATTTAACTTCGTAATATGTAAAATTGTGAGTAGTGAATTTAACGAAAGTGGATGTAAGCGATGTGGTGACTTTCTGATGCATGTGTCCCCTTATTAACTTTAATGAACTAAAAGGGTTAAAACGAGAAAAATTGGGGGTTATGAGTGAAAATTGTGAGGTGTTGGTTGGAGTGTGAGGGTTTGGGAGGGTGGGTAAAAGGGTAGACAAGATTCAACCTGTGTGCGCGGTCATCACGTGACGTCACTGACATAGGGGGCGACCTGATTCAACCTGTGTGCGCGTGACGTCACTGACCGCCGAGTAAACGCTTTTTTTAGTTCATTTAACTTAATGAGAGGAAACTTTTAGTTCATTTGACTTAATGAGCGGAAACTTTTAGTTCATTTTAAAATAATAAGGGGAAGATGTTTAGACCTGTAGTAAGCATGCCCCCATAGGAGGAGTCTATTTTGAATGCTTACCCCCAGAGGGGGGATTCCAAAAACTTTGATCCGAGGAATTTCGAAAACCCCATAGGAGGGAATCCAAAAACTTGGTATTATCGAGAAAAATTTGAGGTTGGGGGGTGGGTGAAAGTGGGAGGGGTAATCCAAAAATTTGATCCAAGGTGATCATAAGAAATTCAAAACCCCCATAGGGGGGGAATCCAAAAACTTGTATTATCGAGAAATTTTTGGGATTGGGGGGGGGTGAAAGTGGGAGGGGGAACCTTAAAAATTTGATCTGAGGAGATGGAGTCATGGTATTGTCGAGAAAATTTGGGGTGAAAGTGGGAGGGGTAATCCAAAAATTTGATCCAAGGAGATGGAGAATTTCGAAAACCCCATAGGGGGGATCCAAAAAACTTGATCCGAGGAGATGGAGTCATGGTATTGTCGAGAAAATTTGGGGTGAAAGGAGGGGTACCCAAAAAAAACTTGATCCAAGGAGATGGAGAATTTGATTTCGAGAAATTGTTTGGGGATGGGGGTGAAAGGAGGGGTACCCAAAAAATTTGATCTGAGGAGATGGAGAATTTCGAAAAACCCCATAGGGGGGAATCCAAAAACCTTGATCCGAGGAGATGGAGAGCACAAGAAAATGAAATTCAAAAAAAATTCGAAACCCCATAGGGGAGAATCCAAAAACCTTGATCCAAGGAGATCATAAGAAAAAAAAATTCGAGGCGCGGGGGCGATCCGGATGACGCTGCAGAAGGCGCAGCAGAAGGCGCGGGCGGGGGTCGCGAAAGGCGCGGGCGGGCGCGCGGGCGGGCGCGCGGGCGGGGCGCGCGGCGGGGGTCGCGAAGGGCGCGGGCGGGCGCGCGGGCGGGCGCGCGGGCGCGACGGCGGGGTCGCGAAGGGGGGGTCGTGGGGCGGGGGTCGTGGGCGGGGGGTCAAGGGTGAGGTAGTCTCGAGGGCGAGGTCATGGTCAAAACCGGAAGTAACACCTAGGTGTGAAAAGGTGACCCTCCAGCTGCTGGTCCTAGACCGGATACACCGCTCAGTGGAAGGCCCTAGACCGGATACACCGCTCAGTGGAAGGCCCCTAAACCGGATACACCGCTCAGTGGAAGGCCCCTAAACCGGATCACCGCTCAGTGGAAAAAACGACTACTTAAATAATATATATATATACATATATAAATATTAATATATATATACATATAAATATATCTATATATATATATATACTTATATTATATCTTATAAAATATATAATATATATATATAATATATAAATATATATTATATAAAAATATAATATATATATATTATATATAAATATATATATAATATATAAATATATATATATTATATATATAGTATATATATATAGACTGGGACACCAGCCCCTTCCTACGTCACACTTCACAGCCTTGACACCAGCCCCCTTCGTACGTCCCACTTCCACAGCCTGGACAGCAGCCCTTCGTGCGTGCACACCTTCCACAGCCTTGACACCAGGCACTTTCGTGCGTCACACCTACCACAACCTTGACACCAGCCCGTTTGTGCGTCACACTTCCACACACTTGACTACCAGCACCTTCGTGCGTCAACACCTTCCAAGCCTTGACATCAGCACCTTCGTGCGTCCACATTTTCCACAGCCATGACACCAAGCCCCTTCGTGCGTCACACCTTCCACAGCCTTGAC